ATTTTCCCTCGACATAACGTAGTATATTAAAAATGAATTTAATCATTCGAATAAACCAAAATCTCAGCGTGGGGAGGAAACATACACATTGTCAACTACATGTGTTGGTGATGACAATATGAAAATTCTGGGAGGAAATTTTGGTAAATTCTCCTTGGTTTTTGTGCTGCACTTCTACCCAAATTTGTATATAAACTCCTGAGCTCAGTCCTATCCGTATGAGTGTAACGAATGCACGCACGCACATCTAGCTGACTCTAGCAGCGGACCATGTTAGATTATCCCTCGACAAACTAACTTGATCATTCCAAATATTTCCCATCCCTCCCTCTCCTTACGAATGCAACACTATGGCGGGTATTCTCTCATCCGTATTTTTTAGAATGTCTAATAGCACTCCATATGCTCTCACACAATGAACCGAAACCGGCCGAGAAAATTCAGCGGCTAACCCCAGCTGCTGCTGGAAAACCTTCAACTGTATCGCCATGGGAATCTGAAGGGAAAAAATTGGAAAAAAATTCAAAAAATTTTTCCTACTTTTTTCGCTCTAATTTTGTCGATGCCGATTTCCCCGACACCAAAACTTGGATTTTCACGGAGAATTTCCCGCATTTTTCCCACCCACTCTGAATTTCCATCACCAAGGTCCTCTACCATATTTTCTGTAACATACCACGGATGAATGCCAACTTGTGGTTTATACAGAGAGTGATCGAGATGAGCGGTCTGAGGAGGAAAAATACAGGGGGGAAAATAAATTTTTGCTGAAATTTCCTGTAAAAACGAGAGAATTTTCCGAATTTCTCTTGGTAAAATTTCCATTTTTTGCTGAAATTACTTTTATTTTCCGGTAAAGTTTCCCCGATATTTTCCATTTGTAATTTATTATCTAATTCCTTCCAGGAATATTGACAAGATTTCCCTCGCTGAATTTTCCCCAAAATTTTTCCAATTTCTCCTCACCATTTCCCAGTCTCCCGGCCCAGTACTGCACGCAACCACCATTTTAACGCCAATCGTATCACATCTTCTCTTCAAGTCGCCAGCGCTGATAAGCTCCGTCAACTTTCTCATTTGTGGGTGCGCATGAGCGTCTACCATTTTCCTCGCCATTTAGTATTTTCCATAAATCTGTTTCCATCACTTT